CCCAAAGGTGGGTCAAAACCGTGTTCCCCCCCCCCCGTTTTTCTCTTACCTGTGGGCCTAATTTCAAAATCTTCATTTCCCACTTCCCCGACTATCTCTGTGTGGAGGTTTAATCCTCGCGCCCTCTGAAATGTCAGCTCCGTTCTCTTGCTCTTTGCTTGGGCCTCTTTAGATGCTGAGCCATGCCAGGCTATTGATTTATTCTCTATATGGCTGGACGGTCAGGTAAACCCCAGATACATCTCAGAGCAATGGAGGTGACTTTTTAAAAATGACTTGTTGCAGAATTTGAAAAGCAGCTCATTGACGTTTGTCACAAATGTTGGAAAAGGAAAGGGACACGTCACTGTTTATGCTCCTTGTTAGTTTCCTGTTTCTTTATTATTATTATTATTATTTTGCTACTTAAAAAACCCCACACCCCATTACGTTTCAGAGGCGGATGGCCTGAAATTTGGGAGAATTCCTGTTTTCCTGTTCATTCTATTACTTTCGAAGGATAGCTTTATGAGGATGAGGCTCCCCCAGAAAGGGAACTTTTTTATAATTGAATATGCCATGTGTTATTTCTAAGTTGTTGTATGTCTGGGTGGTGCTTGTCTTGCTCCTTAATCGCAAGGAAAAGATATGGCGATCTCGGATGAGCTCCACTACCTGGAGGTGTACCTGACCGATGAATTTGCAAAAGGGAGGAAAGTGGCTGATCTGTACGAACTGGTCCAGTATGCTGGCAACATCATCCCCAGGCTGTAAGTTAATTTGGAGTCTGGCCTGAAGCCGATCCTTTTGGAGGCATGAGCCTGCTTCCTGCAGGTGCCCAGTTTTCCTAGACAGTCGTAATGCTTCAAGCTTTTTCTTTTTAAGAAAGAGAGTTTCCTTTCCCTCTGAGTCCCGTTTTGCTATGGGAGCCTTTGCTTAAGTCGTTCCAGTGTTTGAAGCAGGAGGGGGGGTGGCAAGAGAGAGGGATGTTCCACTTCTGGACACCTGGTGTAGCACAGATTTTTGAAAGAATTGGGTCAGGAGGGCAAAACTCAACTTTTCCCCCATCAAAATCAAAAGTGGATTTCCAGGCAATTTCTGTTTTGATTTTTAGGGTGTCTACAGGGGGCGTGTGTGTCTTGCTCTTTCTAGGCCTGATTTGCCCCTTCACAGGTGGGGGTGAACATTCCCCACCCACCCCCATCTCATCTCTGGCTGAAAGAAAGCTTATCGGAAATCAGTTATGGATGTTTATTTCAGAATGGAGGCAATGAAGTTGTGTTTTGATGAAGGGGAAACAATGCAGGACCTCTTAGCATTCCTAAATCTGGAGTGGTTAAGGAGACAAGAATCTACCAGTCGATCTCCGGATCACTATAAGTCGGTTGACAACAATGTCTGATTCCCAGTTCCATAACAATAGTCAATAAAATGTGCTCTTTGCTGTGGCCAAGTTGGCTGATCAGATAATCCTTGTGGATTCCTGTGTGACAAGCTCCCAACCTTGTGCTTCATTAATCCTAGACTCAAGACGCCAGTGTTGAGGATACGAACAGAGCAGATTTGAATAAAACGTGTGCTTTCTCTCTGTGTGTGTTTTCTTTGCCTGTCTGGTATCTGGCAAATTGAGGGCCACGTGGAGAGAGATTTTTGGATGGCAGGGGAAGGAAAGCAAAGCAGAGGTGTCATGTTGTAAGGACTGAAGTCTGCAATAGATTATTGCAGTTTGGAGTGATTTTGTTTGGTATTCCGGCTCTTGCATTCCATGGCTTTCCGTTTTTCTTTTCCCCGAGCACCAGTCTGTGCAAATCAAGCACACTCAGCGGATTGGGCTGTTTGGGGGACTTTCTCTAGAGGTCTTGCCGTCACCTTGACTCTGTGGATGCCTTCTGTTTACGGAGCCCGTTTGGCCATGTAGGCGGAAAGCTCTCCCAGCCAGAGTGTGGGTTGGCAAGGAAGAACAAACGCATGCTTGTAACGCAGTTGCTGTCTTCTCTTTCCAGCTATTTGCTCATCACAGTTGGCGTTGTCTACGTGAAGTCCTTCCCTCAGTCCAGGAAGGACATCTTGAAAGACCTGGTGGAGATGTGTCGGGGTGTCCAGCATCCCCTGAGAGGACTGTTCCTCCGGAACTACCTCCTTCAGTGCACCCGGAACATCTTGCCCGATGACGGGGAGCAGACAGAGTAAGAAAGAGCCTGATGCTTTCGTAAGGGAGCTGCTGTGGCTTGTGTTGGGTGGTGCAGACGTGGTTTGATCCCTCTTGGTGGTTGTTGGAAGGCAGTGTTTGCTTGTGTAACCTTCCAGTGAGGAGACCACCGGGGACATCAGCGACTCCATGGATTTCGTGCTGCTGAACTTCGCCGAGATGAACAAGCTGTGGGTGCGGATGCAGCACCAAGGGCACAGCCGAGACCGGGAGAAGAGGGAGCGCGAGAGGCAGGAGCTGAGGATCTTGGTGGGCACCAACTTGGTCCGCCTGAGCCAGCTGGAAGGCGTCAACGTGGAGAGATACAAGCAGGTGAGGTGGGAGGGCAGGGGTGTGTGGGTGGGTGGGAGGATGTTGTCCCGTCCGGACAGAGCGACCCATCCCACCTGGCTGTGGCTTCAGAAACCCAGCTAAATGGCTTCCTTCCCTATGGTTTAAACTAGCAGTTGGGAAGTTCAGGAGTTCTGGGGCCGGTTCTCCACACCACCAATGAAGATGCAAAAATATGTGGTGGGAGAAGAACCGAAACACGAAGCACCTGGATAGACATTGGGCTATGAGAATTCTGTTATGTTATATTTGTGGCCCAATGTGTTTTCTTACGGGAGAGCAAAATAGCCACCGGGAGCCATATCTGTTACTCAGATACTCTGTAGACACAGGGAGCTGTATCACATACCTGCTACTGCAACTCCACCGGCTACCAATCCGTGTCTGGGCTTAACACAAAGTGCTGGTTTTAACCTATAAAGCCCTAAATGGCTTAAGGCCTGGTTGTCTCAGGGATCACATCTCTCTCTATGATCCTGCCCAGGTATTAAGATCATTAGGGGAGGTCCTTCTCTCGAACTCAGCACCCTCATAGGTGCACCTGGTGGGGATCTGGGAGAGGGCCTTCTCTGTGGCTGTTCCCAGACTGGAGGCCAGGCTGAGCCCCATACTTGCTGTCCTTCCGCAAACGGACAAAGACCTTTCTCTCCAGGCAGGCTTAGTGACTGACACTCTAGGAAAAAATAGACAGTGTGGTTTTTATTTTGTTCCTTCTAAATCTGTTGCTTAATTCTTCTGCAATATTGAAATCATTTAAGCTTTTAATGCTGTGTTTTTAATTGTGTAAGCCACTTTGGGTCCTTTTTAAGGAGAAGGGCAGGGTAAGAATATTTAAAATACATAATTAAATAAAATACCTGGCCCACAGGCTACCTTTTCCCTACCCCCCCCCCCCCTTTTAA